CTTTCGTGACTAGTAAGGCTTTGAGAGTTGGGACTTTTAGTTGTGTTTCTTCAAATGTCCACAGTTGTTCATTTGAAAGAAAACACGTTCGGTAGGTGAATTTGTTCCAGGAAGATACAGAATGAACTGAACCTATTTTAACATGTGTTGGTGGGTAATAGCATTGTCCTTCAAGTTAGTGAGCATATCTACCCAGCGCTGGTCTGTAGGTAACTTAGCTGCATTCCTCAGAAATTTAACTTGTAACACAGCAAAACTCGTCAAATAACTCAGTATCAAACTTTGAATCATAGAATTTCTTTTCTGCAGCAAAATCCATTGTTTTCTCAACGCCTTACCATTTTGGTATTTGCTTCAATGCGGCCCACTGGCCTCTGCATATGTGCAAAGTCTTGCAAGTGACCTGACCACTGGCCTAAATACTGAACACATGTGTCATAAAAATCTGTAACTGTTTTCTTCAATGTAGATGAGTCAATTAATCCATCTTCTTCAAGTCTGTTTGCTAGAACCCTCAATGAATGTGGCCAACATACATTGTCTTTCTTTGATTGCACATTTTGCAACTCTCATGTAAATTTTCAAGAAAGGGTTAATAGGGTTGATTTGCGAGCTACTGGTGACGACAGGGTTGTTTTGGAATAAAGTTAAAATTCAATTTCTATTCACGTTATTAAAGCTATGTACACTCTTACATTAATAGGTGGATATCCTATTCATTCATAAAATCCTTCATCTTATAGCTTAATTTTTCCCAGTTACAACCTATTCAATCAATGATTAACTCGCTCACCTTACATGATAAATCTCCTAGCTATAAGTATACATTCATATTTCTAAGATGGTTCATAGACCTGCACTGAGCTTGGTTAGTTCTTTCTACAATTAATTTATAAATAACTTTCCACCTTCGCGATTACGATTGATCAATCTGGCCCAGGGTAGCTGTAGTAAGCGTCCGTCCCCAGGATGGTGAGGAAGCCGACTGATACTCCCTTCCCTGGTTGGTTGGTTGACTTGGTCTTCTTGCTGATCTTGTTCTTGGTTCTTTGTTTCTTCTGTTCTTCAGTTCTTGTTTTCTTCTTGGGTTCTTCACGTTCCTTCTCTTGTTTATGGTTTTAACTACAAGGAGAGCCTCCTTGTAGCTGAGTTTCCTCTGGATTCGCAACTTGGTTGCCCTACATTCCTCCCTCCACTTGGGACAATCCCGGTCGGAGGAGTGAGGGCCGCCACTCACTTCTTGGTAGTCGCCGAACACGGCGCAGACCTCCGGAGCCCGGCACTTCTTAGCTGGGTAACCATAGCGCTGACATCTATGGCACCTGGCGGGTCTTGAGATGTGGGGCTTTACTGGGACGGTGTCCCATCCCAGTAAAACCTTGTTGGGAAGTTCGATGAAGAAACCGTTCCCGATTAGTTGTTTGATTTCTTGGTCTTTCATATGTACTAGTTCGGTGTGAGAGATTCCCCCACCACACCGCGTTGTCCCAAAAGTCGATGCCCAGTTTAAGGCGTCGTTGATGGTCTGGACGTTCTTCAACTGGGCTGGCTGTTCCCAGTTCGAGGTGACCACAAGGCTACCACTCGGTAAGACAACCCCTATATCCCCTTAGAGCAGGGGTTCTCAACCAGGGGGGAATTCAGGTTTTCAGGGGGGGGGGGAAACTGATTCGGGAGCAAGAGATATGTTCGATGAGAAATCAATCACAGAATTTTGGCCCTTGATGTGCGATTCCTACCCAAAAGTGGCAGAAAGAGCTATCCGTGCATTGCTTCCGTTTGTGTCGACATATCTTTGTGAGTCAGGCTTTTCAACTCTGTTGCAAATTAAAACGAAGCAACGTAGTAGATTAGAGGTAGAAAATGACCTGCGTTGTGCACTTTCAAGCACTCCTCCGCGTATCCCAGAATTGGCGAAGAAAAAACAATCACAGGTTTCTCATTGACTGTAATCTTCATCTGAATAAAATTAATTACAAATTTACAATATCATGGTATTCTATTGAACTTTTTGTTTATTGCATTATGCTTCAGTTTGGTCTGTTAAGTAATTCATTATAAATAAAAAAAACTATTTTACTTTTATTCAAGTTTTATAAATCCATCAACATTTTCAATTGGCATTTAATTTGTAAAACTCCACTATAAAAATAATCCATGTAAAATTGTAAATGTATATGTACTAATATGGAAAAAATAAAGGATTTTCAGTATTATATTCATATTATTTGGAATGCACTTTTTGAGGCAGACAATCTTGGAAAAGAGGGGGGAATGACATTCTGACATATGGTGAAAGGGGTGCATGGGGCAAACAAGGTTGAGAACCACTGCCTTTGAGGTTGAGCTGTTCTAGGGGTGTGGAGGATGGCAGGTACAATCGTACCATCTTCACTTTGTTCCAATCGGAGGAGATCAAGGTGTCCTCGAGAGCAGAGCATCCTTCCTTGTCGAAGTGCTGGTCTAAGATCTCCCGTCTTTGAACCAGCCAATCAAACTACACTAGACAAAGTAACGCCACATTGGTGTGGGCTACACGCGGCCAACGTGGAACTACCTAACTACCTTATGTCTGGTAAATATACATATATAAGGTATAATATACGATGTGACAGATGGGAATGTTGAGGGAACAAACATTTTCTCCATTATTCTAAGATGGGTATGACTCACAGCAAAGAATGAGGATGCAGGAAGCTATAGTAATGTAAGGGCTGCAACGAAGGGGTAGGTTGTCCGCCGCTCGTTTGCTTGTTCGAGATCCCTCTAGGGGGGAGACGAAGGTGAGAAGGCCGCTGCTGACTTGTCGCCGGGGAGACACGATCCAGCCTTCACCACAGCTGTTACTTCACCCCGTTGTTCTATTCCAACTCTGGTTGTGTACTCCTCGGAAGTTCCTGGGGCTGGTGGGCTGATTCCCCTGTCCTTCGCTATTCGCCTGTCAATTCCAGTCACCTAACTCCAGCTACTGCCACGGCTGCCACGTGATCACCACTTCCTCCAAGGCCTATCCACCGCCTATGCCCTGGCGTCTTTCTTGTGTGGCAAGACTTCACCCACCAACGCCAGCGCCAGTGAGGAAGTTGCCCCGGACCTTCCCCCTGAGTGCAGATCACCTCGTTACCAGAACATTCTACAGTGCTGGTTAGAAGGAAGATCCATCTGCAACCGTAGTAAATATTTGTACTTTGTTTTATTGATTCTTTTGTTTTAGTAATTGTTTGACTCCAGTGCTGTTTATTTAATATTTGTGTGAGTGGTGTCAGAGTTAATTTTTTGTGATTATTTTCTTAGCAAGGAGATGTCCTCTCTAACGGTTGTTTATTACCCTTTGGAAACCCATAGTTCTTGACTTTCCTGTGATAAGATCTTAATAAGGCTGGCAAGGGATTTATATCCTACAGGCCAGGCCTTTACAAGTATAGTAGAGAGGAAGAAAAATTAAACAAACCCAGAAACACGCTTAAGGCCGTTTCACACTGGATGAGATACTACTACGCTGCCAATTTTCGGTGGCGATTCTTCCTATATGAGTGTTCACACCGGATAATATGCAAGCTATGTTTTTTGAGAGAGAATAATTTTGTGTCGTCAGTCGAGATGGAAGGAAGTGTACAGAGGTTTTCTCAGGCAGAGGAGGAGGAGGAGGAAGAAACATTTTACTGCTGACCCTAGCAACGTCATCGAAAAGAAAAAAGAAGTGGGTGCATGAGACAAATGTGAATAGACCTAACTTTGGCGAATGCCATCATCTTGTACAGGAGATTTCAGGTGACGAAGAAAAATTTAAACAACATTTCAGTTTGTTTCATGCTCAATTCAATGAAGTGCTATCCATAATTGAAAAAGATACCAAGAAACATGATACCAACTACAGGCAGTCTATAAGCCCTAAGGAAAGGCTAGCCATTACTTTAAGGGAAGTTAATTAAAAAAAAAATTCTTGCATGAAGCCTTTATTGACATTAGCCTACATTTAATTTTAAATATTATATATTTATCATTATCAATTGGGGAAGGTACAGGGGAGGGTGTATAGGGTACTGGAGAGGGTGTATAGGGTACTGGAGAGGGTATATATGGTACTGAGTAGAGTGAATAAGTATGTGCAGACAAGTCATATTCATGCTGCTCCTTTGCTCTTGCGATGCTGTCTAAAATTTCCCTCTTCACTCAGTTTTGTAGCCTTCGAGATAAATTTTTAGTCGACTTACATGCACTGATAAAGAAATGATCTAAATCATCCTGTTTTGTAGTATTTTCCCTATTGTCTTGAAAGTACGCAATGACCTTATCCACATCACTCGCTGTAGTCGACTTCCTCCTTTTTTTTATTAGGCCTGTAAGTATCTAGTTCGTTTGAAGTGGATGCAGATGCAGGCATTTCTACCTGCATTTCACTTTCAGTTGTTGCAAAATTATCTTCATCACCAACATCTACTTGGTTCATGCCCTCGATGTTTGTGCTCGTCCTGAAAGAAATTCATTGACAATTAGGCCTATTTGTAAAATCTAATAATTTTGAATGGACTTATTAACAATTAAATTTAAACACTATTTTTATCGTGGAATATGACTCTACAACCCCTTTTTTCTTATTCATGAAAAATTATTAGAGCACTTTTATGATATAGGCCTATCACTAGTCCCTTTTGTTGTGGTTTTCATTTTTTTCTTAATTTGAATTTAACAATGAAAAGAAAATCCCTTACTCGCTAGCACTTATGGATGGAATCAAAAACTCCATTTGCCTCTCGTAACGCCAAGGCTTCCGATTTTTTACTGGCTGACCACTAGTCGTCTTTTTGCTAGTGAGTGCATGACGACAGCAATCCCTGAGTGTCTTCCATTCATGTCTGATGATGTTGGCTATGTAAAAAAAAGATATAAACAAATAAAATCACAAAACATAAATCAACCCAGTACGAAAAAGCTGTATTAATCATTTGTCTATCTATCTATCTAATTATCTTTGATTGCAGGTTTCTGGCAACAGGTGATACATTTCGAATTATTGCCTTCAGTTACAGACTGGGATGTTCAACGGTTTCGCAGAGTGTAAATGAAGCTTGTGATGCTGTTTGGAGAAAATATGCAGCCTCTTTGCTTATCACGGTAATTTCAAATTTAATTTAGAACATAAAAAAATAAGGAGTCTGCAATAGGCCGGTTGGCCTGTGCATGGCAACTCCTGTCGAGAGATACTACAACTCTATATCATCCATGAATCTATCTAGCCTCCTTTTAAAACTTTCCAGCGTTCCAGCACTTACTACAAAGTTGCTAAGCTTGTTCCACTCGTCCACCACCCTATTTGTGAACCAGTTCCTTCCTATCTCACTCCTAAACCTAAGCTTATCCAACTTAAATCCGTTGCTACGAGTCCTGTCCTGCTCGGATATTATAAGAACTTTATCTATATCGCCTTTATTGATTCCTTTCACCCACTTAAATACTTCTATCATATCTCCCCGCACTCTTCGTCTTTCTAGGGAATGCAAGTTTAGTTTCTTTAACCTATCTTGATATGCAAGGTTTCTAAGTCCCGGAATCATTTTCGTCATTCTTCTCTGCACCGACTCCAGTGAATTGATATCCATTCTATAATAAGGGCACCAGAACTGAACCGCATAATCGAGGTGCGGCCTGACTAGCGCAAGATATATTTGCAATAAGACCTCTGCACTCTTATTACTTACACTTCTAGATATAAAACCTAATACTCTGTTTGCCTTATTTTGAACATTAACGCACTGTTTTCTAGGTCGTAGGTCCGGGCTTACAAGTACCCCTAAGTCTCTTTCACAAGTCGACTTCTCTAGGTTGAAGTTGTTAAGGCTGTATACATTGACAGTATTTGTTCTTCCAATATTCAATACGCTGCACTTGCTGGTGTTGAATTTCAATTGCTATTTTCTGACCACTCCTGCAGTTTATTTAAATCCTCCTGTAGTGCATTTGCATCCTGCCCTGAATTAATCTGCCGCCCTATTTTGGTGTCATGCGTAAACGTGCTTATGTCACTGCTGATCCCAGTATCTAGATCGTGTATGTAGATTATGAACAAGAGTGGTCCCAGTACTGACCCCTGGGGAACCCCACTGGTTACACAACCCCACTCAGATTTAACACCATCTATGCTGACCCTCTGTGTTCTATCGGTGAGCCATGATTTTATCCAATTTAAAACTCTCCCCTCGATACCATGAGCCTTAACTTTTCTCAGAAACCTCTGATGCGGTACTCTGTCAAACGCTTTGCTAAAGTCTAAGCAAATAACATCGTAATTTTCGTCATTATCTACTACCTCGAAGACTTTCCTAAAAAACGTCAGCAGATTTGTTAGACAAGATTTTCCCTTTGTAAACCCATGTTGAGAGTCGTAGATTAATTTGCTTTTCTCTAAATGCGTTCGGATGCTATTTGCTATAATTGATTCAAGAAATTTCCCCACTACTGACGTCAAACTAATTTGACGCTGATGCTCTGTCTCCCTTTTTGAATATGGGTATTACATTTGCCTGTTTCCACAAGACTGGCACAACTCCCGTGTCTAATGATTTTGTAAATAAATTTACGAGGGGTCCTCTAATCTGTTCCTTTCAAAACTCTTTCAAAACTCGAGGGAAAATTTCATCCGGTCCTGGGGATTTTGTCTTCTTTAATTTATTTATCTTCTTAAGAACATCCTCTTTTATGAAAGTGATATTCTTTAATTTTTCTTCTTCATTTCCCCTAAATATCAGCTCCACCTCTGGAATTTCCTCGTGAATTTCCTTTGTGAAAACTTGAATTTCTTCTGTGAGTATTGCTTCCATTAATTTTCACACAGTTGATGTTAAGCTGATCCGACTGTAGCTTGACGATAGTGATTTAGCCCCACTTTTTAAAAATCGGTGACACATTCGCTATTCTGCAGGAATATGGTATTACACCCGATTTTAATGACGTTAAACATGTTTGTCAAAGGGATACTAAGCTCTCCCTTACACTCCTTTCATACTCTTAACAAATATCTCATCGGAAGCTGGCGGCTTAATAGGTTTTAGTTTAACTGTTTGCTTCCAAATAGCATCTAGTTTGTTTACTTCACTATCGGTATAGTTAGTTGCTACCCCTGACATTATGTTAAGGTTTTCAGTTGTGAAAACTGATAAAAAATATAAATTCAAAATATTGCTCAATTTCCCCCCCCCCCTCGTTATCAGCTAGCTGGTTTGAATCTGCATTGGTCCAGTCTTGTCGCGCGCTTCAGTTTGATACATCTGAAGGAAAAAATCCTTTAACGTTTAACTTCACAATCTTTTTTTGCTTTTCTGTTATTTTTCTTGACCCTTCTGGATAATTCATTAGAATAATCTTGAAGGTAGACGTCACAGTGTTTGATTCTTCTATATACAATTCTTTATACCGTCTTTTCTGCCCGATTATATTCTTAAGTAATTATTCATCCATTTGGGGTCATTGTTATATGATTTGAGCCTTTATTACGGTATATTCAGTTTTTGCGCATCAAGTAATGGATTTTTTAAATTGTTATGGTACTTGGCAACATTATGCAGTATCTCGTGGTCAGGTCACGAGATAAGGATGGTCACATTACGTGAGGTTGGGTTATTTTCACCTAAGCGCGACACGTCCTTCCTCAGCTTTGTTTTTGAACCATCTACAGAAGTCGGGGACTTCGTTGGAATTTTCCCAGACATATACATAGATTGATATTTTAAATCTTAATTCCTTGTGCTCACTGTTTGCTCGTTCGCTCCCCACGTCAACATTATTAATGAGATTATCTCTACAGTATATGGCAGAATTAAATGCAGTATACTATTCCGCCGAGTAAGTTCAGTTATTATGCTGACTGAGGAAACAAGACTGAATTGTTTCAAGGAAATCCTCCTATTCTAAGCTTCTCATTAAGCTAATCAATTCTATTTTACAAAAGTTAGAGTTTCTAACTGTACAATCGATACAATGTCTGGTTGCTCTATTTTTTCCCAAATAAATTCTCTTTCCACTCTATCTATACTGTATTTGGTGATCTACAGGGTGAGCATAAAGTCTTTCCCTGATTACAAACATTTATTACACAAAACATACGCTAGGTACAAACAAACAGTTTTTTGCAGCTTATACCTTATCTCAAGAAGTTTTTTTTCCGTTACTCGTGAACTTCAACATGAGCTCCGTTTGTTGCCCGGAGCACATTTAAGCGATACTCGATTTCACGCCATGTTTTCTGCAGCATCTCTTCAGTCACCGTCGCTATTGCCTCCGTTATCCTTGCCTGCAGAGTTTCAAGATCAGGAACTGGTGAACTGTACACTTTGTCCTTCGTATACCCCCATAAAAAGAAATCAAGAGGGGTAATGTCTGGTGAACGTGGCGGCCATGGTGTTGGACCATCTCTCCCAATCCATCGGTTTGGAAAGGTTGCGTTCAAGAACTATCTGTAAAATATGCATGCAAAAAAAATCTATGAATTCGTCTACTGTACACAATGCTACAACATTCATGTTTCTTTCTAAAGTGGTCTTCGAGATATGATTTTTCATAATCAGGGAAAGACTTTCTGCTCACCCTATATATATTATTCACGCAAATATTTATTAATCCAAGTTTCTGTGAATGATATGATTTTTTTTTCACTGTACATCCTAAAGCTCTGATATATCCTATCTCATTTATAATACTCATAATGTTTGCATAGTAAACATTAATGGTAGTTTTGCTACGAGTCTTTCATCTGCTGAGTGTTGAACTTATTTTCCTGACTAATTTCGCTTTATTGTTGTTTCTGAGACACAAATTCTTGATTAACTTTTGTTATTGTTGTGGGAGAGATTCAGGTGATACTTCCAATCAGGGGTGAAGGAAACACAATGATGTCAAGTTCGTAAGTTCTATTTCTGGGACAAACACACAAAAGGAGTTAAGACAGGGGAAACAGCGTCCTGTCTTGGAATCTCTCTGGGTATCTCTATCTGCGCATGCGCGTACAGCGCTCATGTGCCTAAAGTCTGAACTAACATTCAAGTGACAAAAGGGAGTATGATTATAACATATAATACAGAGACCTGAATCAATAATGGTAAATAGTACAGTTACATATTACAGCATATTCGTCTCATATACCTACACCTCCCTCCCCCTCACGCTCGTAGTGCAATCTCGAGCGGACTCTTTTTCCAGGAGCCTTTGAGAGTGACGTGGGAAAACTGGGGGGTCACTGAATGAGGACTTACTTTTCTCGTCCAAGCAAGGGTTCACAGGGATGTGGGGGAGGGGTTTACCACTAGGGGACGGTACTGAACGAAGAAAGCGGCGATTCCGCCACCATACCCGACCACTAGGGAGACGGACCTCGTAATCCCTGGTCTTGCCGCAGCCCATGACAACCCCGACCTTGTCCCAGCGGTGAGACGTCGGATCTTGAATCCGAACTGTTTGCCCGATACTCATCCTGGGAAGGGGTCGGGCGTGCTGATCGTACTGTGCCTTTACCTGGTCAGCACGGGCGGCTGCACGACGATCGCAGTCCTCGGTCTTGGCCTGCCACTCCCTCGAGAAGGACTTAGGATGGGCAGGGCCACATGACCGTAGTGGGTGGCCGTATAACATCTGTGCTGGGAAGCGACCTGTGAAGTTGGGGGTATTCCGCAATTCCAATAAACCCCGGTCAAACTTCTCACAGTCAATGTTGCCTGACGGTGCCGTCTCGAGGATGAGATGCTTGACGGACTTTACGGCAGCCTCGGCATGTCCATTGAACTGGGGATAATGTGGCGAGGACACCACATGATAAACTCCCCATCGCTCCATGCAGTCCCGGAAGTCGTTGCTGGTGAACTGGGGCCCGCCGTCAGTCCTCAGGCGGAGAGGGACACCAACTTCCCGGAAGTAGCGACAGAACATACGTACTGTATGAGAGGCAGTAGTGTTGCCTCCGCAGGGAACGACAACAGGCCAACCTGAGAGCCGGTCGGCGATGACGAGAAAGGACTTTCCCGCCACAACGAAGAAATCCGCAGAGACGGACTCAAAGGGCCTCGTAGGGTTGTCGTTGTTCAGGAGGGGTTCCTGCTGCTGACTAGGCTGCAGCACCTGGCATGGCT